TTGTCATCCAATCCTCTCAGAGCAACGACAAGGACGCCCGTGAGTTCGCCTCTGGCGAGATTGTTCTTTCCGGCGACAAGCTCTTCTGGACGCAAGGCGTCTTCGAGCTCCGCTACCACCACAATGGCATGCACAATGTCATGGCCATCTCGCGACCCTTCGAGATCCGTATCCGTCGCTCAAACGAAGATGACACCGTCGTGGATGCAGAATCCATCTCGGAGTCTGCCGTTGAGAATGCTTTGTTACCTGTTGTTCGAAACTGCTTCGACCGGGATCCTGAAATCGCTCCGGAGACCGTGGATGAGCAGTTCGGCGGTCTTGTAGAACGGGATGGCAAGTTTGCGAAGCGTGTTGTGTTTGCTATTCATCAGATGTGAGTCCCTCATCCCTACAAAATTTGGATTTGCATTCTCCTACTCACTGATGTATCTTTGCTAACCCTCCATCCAGGTTTGGTATCGAATTAGCACCCGAGGTTGTCAAATCTGATGGCAATGTCCGTAACCTCGCCTGGAGAATATGCAACGCCAAGAAAGTACTGGTACGTATCAAATAGCTCGCTGGATAGCAATATTTCCTTGAACCAAAACCCCGAAACTAATTGCGAAATCATGCAGGCTCCTTACAGCATGTCCAGATCCAATGGCACGACGACACCAATCGAGGAGAACAAAGAATAGATGAGTACGGGTACTTAAAGAGAGAGAGATTGCTTGTCCGAGAAGCCGTGTTCTGTTTGAGTCGGGTATGTGTGTGACCACAGCTGTCTGTGAAGTGCCGACCATGTGAGGTGGGTGGGCTCGTTTCGTTTCTTGAAAGGCATTTTGCTTTACGTGAAAGAGAAGGGCGCGAATTAGAAATGGTGTCATGAAGAAAAGGAGTTGTTTTGCTTGTTCGCTTGATTCGCTTGATATGCGAAGGTTCATATTCATGATTCCCACGGTGTTTTGTGTTTAGAATTAAGGAGGTAGGCGGCGGTGGTGATTTTAATGGCCTCGCTATTGAAGGCCCCCGGAGGTTAGGTACGACTGCGAGCCATTTGGCCGGTTTTACTCCTATGTACATTGCTTTAGGGTTAATGTATTACTTTGCTTGAGCTCGCTTACTACGGTAACGATGTACGAGTGGAGAATGATTGACAAATTCAAATCATGGATATTCATTTTTCAAGCTACGTTGGATATATAGAAGTACGGGCAGACCTAAATCTTGAAAGCTGTCAGCGTAATTCACCAAGAGCAGTGATAGCAGAAGCAAGGAGCATGTAGCTTAATCAGCCAGCCGGTTAACTCATCCCATCCCCTGTTGGCCCCTCGCACCAAACAGTCGCCCAAGACGGACAAGCTGCCCAACACGAGGGAACCAACACAAGTCGGCTTGCAGTACCATGCCGCTGGCAAGACAACAGAGTGAAGAATGTACTCAGTCAACGACTTAACCCAAAGTTCTCCAAGTGTCCACAACCTTCCTCCCTTTCACATCCGAAGACATAAGAGGTCCAGTATTAGGGAGTTGGAAGACAATAGATCGACGACTGTATTGATCACACTGCTGTACGGCTTGGGTGCAATCCAAGAGGCGGCTCTCACAAGGAGATCATTGAATGGATTGACTAGGTGTCATCATAAAAGGTGGGGGTAGTGTGCAGTGGAAGAGCGATGATACCGTACCTTTGACTTCATGAGAAGGTAGGTGATGCACAATGCAAGCTACGTGACTAGACTTTTGACTTGTCAGTACTCTTGTCAAGACAGGAAGGCTGAAAGGCAACAATGAGGAAGGCTCAAGAAGTGTCAGGAGTTTTTGGTAAGAATCTTGTTATCTTCAAAAATTTTGCAGAAGCAGAACTGAAAATGGTTTTTCATCACTTGAGGGAGTTGAAAAAAGGAAAAAAAAAAGTTCTTACCTTGTTAGTGAAAATTTTCGCGGAGCTTCCCTGGACACTTGACAGCGACCACTGAGGATTCTGAATCTGCCTGAAGCTATTGTCAGTCCCTGATGCAGAAACAAAGTAAATAATGATAACAATAGAAGGTTGTTGTCTTTAGTCAGATGGTAGTGCATGTTGTTCTTGGCCCATTTTTCGTCGCCGAACAGGAGGTTGGATCTCTCTCGTCATATAGACAGCGCAGGTGGGGGTTACAATGGTACTCACGTTTAGTGTTAGTGAAGCATGAAGATCCAAGCACCAGTGAAGATGCTGCTCAATGCCTTCGACATTTGAAGGGTTCTGGTAAACAGAGGAGTGTGAAAGGAAGAGAAGAGAGAAGAGCAGAAAAGTCAAGAAAAACCATAGACGCTAGGCGGTGGGGCCGACAAACCATGCAAACCCCAAGATTTCCATTTCTGGGACTTCAACCATCGCGACACTCGACAGCTTTAGCATTGCGCCAATTCACGTAAAATGGCTGACAGACGACGTATCAACGGCCCACCTGGGGGCACAAGACCTCCGGTCTTTGCCTCTGTTCAGCAATCCTCAACCGGTGCCGCAGACCGTGCCCGGCGCCAGCGCCAGCCCGCCGAACTACGGAAAATCTGTATGAGCACCTTGAGAAGCTTCCGCTTGATCGCAGCTAACCTCGAACGCAGTCTTGAAAACGGGACTGATCCCAACCGCCTCGGGATCTTCGTACCTTGAATTTGAACCATCCGCCTCCCTCGCCGCCGCCCGCTCCAATCCCAAATCTCTGATCCCACCTTCCTCAGCACTCAAGCTGGCCTGCACGGTCCATGGACCAAAGCCACTCCCTCGATCTGCTGCATTCTCGCCCAACCTCGTTCTCACAACACACGTAAAGTACGCGCCTTTCGCCGCCCGCAAAAGGAAAGGGCATATTCGCGATGCCAGCGAGCGTGATCTAGGCGTACATCTAGAGACTGCCATTCGCGGCGCAATCATTGCTGAGCGCTGGCCCAAGAGTGGGCTGGATATCACTATCACTGTCATCGAGGCAGAAGATGACCGCTGGTGGGGCGATGCTCCCAATTCGCACGACGCCTCGTGGGGAATGATGAATGTTCTCGCTGGGTGTATCACAGCTGCTTCTGCTGCTATTGCGGATGCTCACATTGACTGCCTTGACCTTGTTTCAGGCGGTGTGGCTGCTTTGGTGGCGGACGACTCGAGCCCATCTTCAACGGGAGCTCCACGGCTCATGCTTGACATGGATCCAGCGGAGCATCGTTCGATTGTGTCTGCTTGTGTGGTGGCATATATGCCTGCGCGTGATGAAATCACAGAGCTCTGGCTCAAGGGAGATAGTTCAAGAGCTGCTCTCGAGAAGGATGATGAGCGGACGGGCCATGAAGCTTTGGTGGATGGTGCTGTTGATGCGGCTCGTGGAGCCAATACTGTTCTAGCTGAGGCTGTGAGGGAATCTATTGAGAGGTCTATTGCTCAAGTCTAGGATAGATACATCACATAACGAATGAATGAAGTCTACAGGTATCCAGTACAATAAAGATATTCAACAATGGAAGACGCCATGATATTTATAAATGGCGAGGACGTTGTTTAAGAAAGCTCGCATGATACACCTGTACTCATCCAAGCTCAAACCCTGAAATGTGATCATTCCACCGTTTTGAGAGGGAGGTAATATATCGCTCAAGCTTTGCTGGGCCCGATCTTGCTTCTTTCCCCTTTCTTGCATCCATCCAATTAATCTCGTCCACGTGTCACTTACTTTCTTGTCGTTGTTCCCCCTTTTCACCTTATTGGTTAATACTGCCTTGCCCGTTTAGCTTCTTACTTTTATGTTTGTGTTCACGTCAGTAGACAGTAGACACGGACCTAGAATCCGGGGCTGTTAAGCAGGTATCCCTGTTTCAATGCACATTAAGTATAAGTATCATTTCGCTTGCAGGGCAAAGGCTGGCTCCTTTTTCGCTTCTTGTCTTTTCTTTTTGCTTACCCTTTTCTCCGTGATCAATGTTTGTTTCCTTTTGGCTATAGATATGAAATGGGACCACGGATTTTAGGTTATATCTAATAATTTAACGTTATTCTATATGCATCTTGTACAACAGGGGGTCATAAGTCTTTACATTAACTGAAAGTTAAATCGGACATCACTATGATTGTCCTAGTGTCCCTGCTAAGATCATGACTTAGGAAGTAGTATCAGGCCCCAAGCAGGTCCCTGAGATTATAATACATTGGCGTTTGGATATACACCAACCTGACACCATTCACGGAGCCTGGATATCCATATTTCCCCTACTAGCATGTTTGGTGAGGGATCATAGGTATGTTGGTTTAAGAAAGATCATGGAGTATGGACAGTCGAGATGGATTGTCTATCTAAATAGAGAACGCGTAATATAAAACACCTAGAAGCCATCTCCGTGCATTTTTGTACCACCCAGATCTCTCATGTACAGGTGGCAGACGTGATAGACCACCATTGCATCAAATCATATCCTCATATAGCCCCATCGTGATCCTGGTAAAAGCTCTTTAGACGTTTCATCAATTCTACACAAGCTAACTGATTGCGGTAGATGACCTTGTCTGGTCTGCCAGTATTGAAAGAAAGTTTTGCGGATCATTCTGGACTTCAGTTGATGTTATGTTTGTCCGCCATACGCATAAGAATGAGAACCATCTACTCGAAGAACTTGCGGATGAAGATGTCTTTCTGGATGGCACCATCGTATCTCCACAGAGCGTCGGGTCAACCAGCGCCCTACAGTGCCTTCGCCAGTGTCTCTCAGTTACCATCATATCTGGTGATCGAGATTCATGTTTGTTGAAGCTCATTGTTCCCAACTCTGCAGGTTAGATTCGAGACCTACAGCTGCAACAACGAAACCACCAGAACTGTTCGGCCCTCTGAACAAGCTTCAACAAGAGAATGTGTACTTTGTGATTGGTAATTTGAATGATTATCCTGTACATAGACCCCGCAGGCTAAACAGACGGCATGCCTTTATAGAACTAGGCTTATTGACAAGGATACTTCATGGTCCAGCATCTACACTGGTGAAATAGATCACGCCAATATGACACCCCATTCGATCCACATTTTCAGTGTCGCCTGCTGCAGCTCTAGCTGTTGTTCTTTGGTCAGGGCAACTGGTCCCAATCCTCTGTTTTTCCTGGATTCTAATGTCTCCCGTAAAGCCGGCCTTTCGTCCTCATCATGTGCAAAAGCAAAGGAGCGAACCTCAGCATTAGCCCAGTCCGTTGCTTTACAGTATGGATTAGCATGAGACGGAGGGAAGTGAGAAGGCAACAACCCACCATGTGAATTAACGGCATTCACCCAGTCATTTGTAAGAGAATGCAGAAAACAGCCATGGGAAACCACCACGATCTCCTTTTCAGGCCGCTGGCTCAGCCACTGCCGTGCCAGTTGAGCTCTCTCTAAAAGTCTGCCCGCGACTGGAGCCCATTTGCCTTCCTATATATGTAGTCCGCTTAGTCTTACCCAAAACTAAACAGATTAGACCCTGAACGCGTACCTTGATGTGCCAGCCAGGCTCTACCACTGTAAAATCTACCGGCAGTTTCTCGAACTCGGCTTTGATCTCAAGCAGGTCCCTGCCAGTGTCACAGATGAGATCACTTGCTTCCTGCACCTCTGGCCAGGCGATAACCTGCAGGCCGCCGTCCCCCACCTTTGAGGGGAACGCCAACAGCGCGGTCTGAATCGCGCGTCGCAATGGCGATGAGAGAATCAGTTGGATATTTTCCAATGCAGGGAACCTGGCACCCAAGGCGCCGGCTTGCTCTTCTCCCAGGGGCGTCAGTTCGGGGTCGGGCAAATGGTGGTTTGCATGGCTGAGATTGTGGACACCTTGCGCGTGGCGCACACAGTGAACTATTGGCGACATTCCTGAAACATCTAGCTTTCAGTGTGAAAAAGTGAAAAGTGGTTGGACTTTATGTTTGAGAGAAGAATCAGGCAAAGACAGGTGTTTGCCAAGACCGGGGTTTTGTTGATGCAATATATGTCAGAACCTGCGATTCCATTCAGGTAGACTTTTTTTATATGTCTACAGTAATTATCCATAGCTCACCAAGTGCCCAATAGGCAGACATCCGCTGCAGAAGTGGCGGATTTGTACCGTAACGAAATCCACGGCAAAGCCAGTAAGCACCTTCATATGCCCAGGGCTTTGTTAGTTTGTTCTCAATAACCAGACGACCTCATCGTTCAGGACCCCTTTGATGAGATTCTCGCACATCCCTTTGACCTATACGGCAGAATGACACACTACTTTGGCATCGCGCCCAACTCAACCCTGCCTGATGTGAAACTGTACATCCCTGGCATTCGTTATGCAAAGACGGACGGGGCTATGGCTTCGGGCTTGGGCCAGTACCTACGTCTCAAGCAGCGAGACCAGTACCATGATGGCTTCGTACGTGCACTGGAGAATATAGGGGAAAGGCACACAGAGGGGAATGGACATAGGCTACACGTATTTGGCGTTTGCTTTTCAACGTGACGGATCGCTCGCCATCACTTCCTACATCAACCCGGGTATCTATCATGCCGACATAAAGGCAGAATCCCCGAATGTTCAGGGACAGAAGACATGGCATCGTAAATAGTTTGTCACATAGAAATGGATTCCCCAAGTCACTATAATCTAAATTTACCTCCAGCAACTAAAACGGAACCATCCTTGTCGAATCGCACTTTTAGTTCCATAGATTACATTAAAAGATTGAACGATAAAGAAGTTGTTCGTGATATCCGACAAAATTTGCGTCAAAGAGTTCTAGTTCCTATATATCAGAGGACAATTCAAGCATATTTCTAGCATTTCAGGACGCAATCGCACACACTACTGCTATCAAGTTGTCGTATAGGTAACTGCAGTCATATCAAGAATATCACGTGTCATCAAGCTAGAAGGCTGTTATACAAGAAAATCATTCACAGGTATAAACAACAAACGACTTTGTTCATTAAATGTAGACTGATCAAAACAAAGCGTCCGGCGTGTCAGTGGGTAGAACCTAAAAATGACAAAAAGAGATGATAAAGTGCACATACATGTAAATAAAGATTTCGTATTCTCTAATAGTGAATTTATGCTTTGAAGTGGTAGAATATGTCTCGGGTCAACTTGACAATTGATAAGTACCTAAGTTTTCTTAGCCGTTAGTCTAGATCCTATTTTTGTTTCTCTTCATTTCCCCCTGTACTATTTTAGTACATGCAGTACAACATTTTGTACTGACATTAACTTATAGAAAGGAAAGAATAGTTGCGTATTAGTCAGTTCAAACTTCCATCAGAATCCTCATTGAGAAAAAGACACCAAGCAAGTGCATGCCGAACAAAAAAGGGGTTGGTTAAAGTTGACATTCCCGGGCGGTTAAATGCCAGCTATCGGCGGTGACAAAATGTGATGACGATCGGACCCATTTATCGGAATCGGAATCGATCGATCTAAAGAAGCCAAGGGCAAGAGTTCGTGTAAAGAACACATTGTTGCATCTTCATTGTGAGATTAAAGAACTCTATATATGTAACTAACGTGAATCCACATACATGTACCCGCATCGCACCTCAGCACAACCAAGTAACAACCAACAAGGTTCCGAGCGGATCATTTGCATCAACTTACTAGTGTTTCAAAATCCCCCTGAAGAGTTGAGAGTTGGCGAGTTTGCCATTTTGCGGAGTTGAACTTGGGAACCCTAAAATTTACTTTTTTCGCTTTCTGCGTTCCTGCTTTTCTGCTTTTCTGCTTTTCTTTGTCTCTCGCTGACCCCTGTCACGCTTGCATGTTCTAGTCAGGGCTACTAGGTATATTGCTATTTGTGAACTCCGGGCATCCGACGTTCCAAAATTGGCACTTGGTTCGCAGTTCCTCCTGGCACCAGACGGCTCGATTTTGTGTCGATCACCTCGTCACACCAATGAAGACTCGTGCGGAAATTGGAGGCTCCATCGCATGCCACAATCCAAACCCCAACCCACTTTTGTTGTGCTCCTCGGCATTTGAAATTCATCACTGGCCCGTTGATTGGGCTGCTGCCAGGAAATTTACAACTGCTGCCTCCAATGAAATGAATTTGGCGATGTTGGCGTTTTCGCCTGTCAACAAAACTCCTATGTGGACCCCTATCTCGGATGGGGCCCGACTTTGTTAAGCTTCCAGCCTATTATGCAGCCTGAATGCGCTGTTCCATAGGCAAAATATCTGCTAGCTGCATGCTTGACCCCATTCGAATGGGGCCTGCGTGCACGAGACCGTTAATCGTAGTCGTGAAGACTCGGGGGAGTACATGTACTCGGGCCTCGAGCTGTGATCCCCAGGGCAAGTGATGTGAACAAAGGGAGAGACGCGATGGGGTATTCTTAAACTTTTAGCGTGCGAACCGTCCGCCTCATCGGCCACAGGCTCCGCCATGATCATGGAGACCGGGTCACTTTCCCCTGATCCAGGCACAGAAAGGTGTTGGATCTGCACGCCATCTACTGGACCAGGAAGTGACTTCCTTGGCTCTTGTTGACTTTTCTATTCTTCTTTCCCCAACTCCTTTCCACTATGAAATGTATACTTGAGCCGTGTGACGGTCTTCCATTCTTTAAGTGATGCCATGATATCAAATCATTCCATTCTTTATGACGACCGGGTCTCGTTACTCCACTGATTGTCAGCTTGACATATTTCCTTCTTTTTTCTCCCAACCTCACTGCGGTGACCCCTCTATACTGAGCACTGCCGCGTGCCGTTCTCCAATTTCGCGCAGGTTTTGTGCTTGAGCACATTCGAAGCTTCAAGATGGGTGCCTTGAAGAGACTTTTCCAGGCGGAAAAGAACCCGTCTCGACCGGTGACTAGTCTTGGATTCGAAGGCTGTCGGGTGGGGGACCCCTACTTTCATATGACGGTTGACTCGCCGGCGCGAAGTCATTTTGGGGATTTCCCGTCAAGCGCTTCGCAGTCACTAGATGTGGCTCATCATTTCGATCAGATTGAGAAACAATTCGAAGATCTGCATGATTCCTTCCAGCGGCCCACATCTTCTCAATCGGAAATGCCGCCTTCGGGTACCACTGATTTCACAGCCTCCAAACCTCAGAATGGCCGGCATATCGATTTGATGGATGCTATATTTTCCTCGGAACGCCCTCAGACGATCAAATCAGAGCCTGTCTCTCAACCTGCCAGCCCATACAATGAAGATGTCGCGGAACGGAATATGACTAGGTTCCTCCGGATCCAATACAGAAATGGACTTGCAAGCTCGCGGATTCTTGCTGCACTGTACCAAGAGGATGTAGCAGACCGGAACATTGCGAAATATAGTAAAGATTCTCGCACCTCGTCAAACCTGAGCTCTCGGTCATCTCCAGCCGCCCCTGGAAGAGTCCGTATCCCAGAAAGCGTACGGCGCAAAGCCAGGAAGCGTGACCCTGGCAAGCCCACATGGGCATCAGCAGAGAACCTACGGACGGAAAAGCCCTCTCAGGATGATGGCTCTGGCACTTCGTCCCAACGATCATCCAACCAACTCCTTCGACACCAAATATCGGCACCTAGTCTGTCAGCGGACGAAGGATTTGTGCCGCAAGAGGAAGCACCACCGAGCCCAGTTCAGCGCTTGGGTGTTCCCCCTGCCTATAAGCTGGGCAAGAGATGGAGTAATACACCTCTCCCGGACAGCCCAACAATTCCCATTCCTATGGGCGATAGTGAAGGCGCCGCCGAGGCTCCCTCGGTGCCGCGATCACCTGCTACAATTAGTCGCAGCTCATCTTCGACATCAAGATCACATTCTCCGGCACCACCACCAGCGCCAGGCTCCAAAAGGAACGTTCGCGATCTCTCAATCAACACTAAATTGGCTTCTAACGGACGACCAAAGATCACACACCGTGCCATTCAGCCGCCAACCCCATCAACCGGCAGTATGAAGCGGGCTCCCAGCATCGCGGAAGTCATGAACAGCCCTTTGCCCGTTCCAAGTCCAGCCAGTCCCCCTAAACAGTCACCGCGCTTCAAAGCCTCGGAATTGATGGACTTGTTCAGCAAATCCTTCACATCTATCCCAGGCACCCACCCGACATACGAGACTCTGCAAGATGCCATCGTCCGCGAGATCAACTCCCACGAGGCATTCCGGCGTGTCCCCGTGCCAGCCCCAGGACCCCCATTCACACCCACGCCAGACAATGACAGGTTCGCCGGCTCCAATCCCGAGCCAGGCCTCCTCAGTCGGAATGCCTCAGCAAAGGGGCGGCTAGCAAAGAAGGGCTCATTCAGGAAACACAAACGCAACTCCGAGTCCCGCCGCAGCATCTCATCCAGCGTCGGCTACGACAGAATCCGACGAAAGGTCGTCGGCTCCCCAGGCCGCCGTCGTCACACCGACGCCCCTCCCCCAAGCCCGGGCTTCCTGGATGATATCCAGCCCCAAGAACAAATCGCCCCACGACTCATTGCCGGCGAACCAATCACCTACCTGGATGTCCTGCGTGCAAGCAACGAACTCCCCACGTCAGCCCCCAACACCAAGATTCCTGCTGCCTCTCGCAAGCGCGGCCGCTCAGAATCCGCTGGCACTCTCGCTACGATGGTTCATGCTGCCCCAGATATGCCCTCCACCCCGGGCACAATTTACTGTATGCAAGCACACTCGACTCCGTCAGCCAGTGACTCGCAGGAAGACAGTGATGATGACGATATCATCCACCTCCCTAGTGTGAACATGCCCCCTCCTCGCGTGCAGGTCGAAGGCGTGGACGAAAACAATGTTCGATATGTGATCGACGCTGCCTCCTCTGATGAGGCCCTGAAGCTCATGCACTGGCCGCAGCGTACTGGGCGGGGTGTTAACTCCAATGCCTATGAGAACAGTCTCTCGCCGCTGTCTCCTGCACGGTTGCAGCTTCGCAGCTCTCGCTCTGTTGAGACTTACTAGCTATGCTAAAGTTGGTCTCCTCTGGCGCTTTTCTAATGTACGGGAAATATTTGCTTTTCTCCACATGATAATGATGCTTTCATGACTTGCGCTTTTTCTCTATCTCTCTATACAAAAGCCTTTCAGTCTTTTTGAGTCTTCCCCGACACTGGGATACCAAGCCGCTATTCTCATATTCGTACTCATCATTCCTTCTCTTACATTCCATTTTTGGTCTTATATTTCCTGTCTACAATACCCTATCTCTACATTCACCCAAGTCGGTCTCTCCCATCCCTGTACCTTTCTTTTGCTCTACTATGGACCTTGCCCGTCCTCCTCCATGGGAAAACTCTTTCTTTTTTTTTTATCTCAATACTGATTGCATAGTCTGGCCGGAGTTTTATCATACCGTTCCTTCTTATTACAAATCTGTATTATAGCCAACAAAGCGTTTGTTTTTATTCAACTTTTCTCTATGTATATTACTCGATTGGAAGATATCTATAAAAACTTCCTATCAGCTAACTTAACTTTCAATCCTTTGTTATTCTGCATGCTGTATTGCTATCACGTGATATCCCAACCCCTAAGAAGACCTCTAGCTGCTACAGATCCTCCTTGGTCTAATCCCTCACCA